AAGAAATAAATATACAATTATAAACATTCATACAAGTAATTATAATAAAACAACTGTAAATATTTAAATTATGATTGTATTAAAATAGTCGAAGAATTATAAAACTCTATATTATTGATTTTAATAAAATAAGAAGTTGATAGCAATTGGTAAAATAAGAAAGTATAGATGCACAAAAAACAGATGATGGGATGAATAGATTTGTGATTGAAAGGAAGCCACTAGACAACTATAAAAATTCAAATTCTTAATTGTAATAAAATTGCTTCTCAATTGTACACAAACACAATTATAAACATTCATAACTATGGGACAAATTTAAATATTCAAACTAATGATTGTAAAATATCAAATAAATTATTGTAAAAATTCAATTACTGATTACCAATCGTAGCCAAACAACCATGTGAATTCTTAGTGGTCGCATGGTGGTCACAAGTTCCTACTAGGATCCTCAATCAATTCCGTAGTCAGGTGGTGTAAGGAACAAATTAAATGACAAGAGCATTTCAAGAGTTTTATAAAAAGGTGAAGAATATTTTGGATATCAAAAATTATGTAACGTGAAAAATGTTTTAATTGTGGTATTTTGTAGAATTATTTTTTCTTTTGATTCTAAATGTAATTTTAATTTTTAGATTACTTTTTGAGAGTTTTCCCAAAAAATTTCAAAAGAAAAAGAAATATTAGTGCATGCACGTGGCAGAATTCACATATTGGCCTCCAAAATACCATCACGTTCAAGTTAATATTCTCAGCTTCTAATTTAATTTTATGGGTCCCACATGTCTCCTTCTTCCGATTTTCTCTTTCAAGCACCATTGTTTATTTTTTGTAACGTAATTTATAAATTATCAGAATAAGCGATTAATTTTTTAAACAAATAGAGATTTTTGTCTTAAATAAATCAAAGAACAAAAATTTAGAATATATTTTTATTTATATATTTAAATAAATTTGTTACAATAATCATTTTTCTTAAATAAATTTATGCAATTAAAAAGATTTCAAATTAATTCGAAGTTGAGATTTTTTATAGTAAGATTAATTGGGTTTGAATTTTGCTTTTATTTATTGCGACGCAATGGTGCAGTGGCCGAAAGGATAAGCGTGTAAGCAAAGTCAGTAAGTGGGAGGAAAATATTGAAATTATTGATGCGAAGGAGTCAAGTTCCCACCTGCTCATTTGATTATTGCATCTCAACTTATCCATTTGTAAAAGATCACTTCAATCGGGGGAATGTTTTTCCAAAATTATGTTTCAAACATCGTGTATCATCCGGAGCACGTGCCTTGACTTTGAAGGAAAAATTATATTACAGGAATTTGTTTTATTAACTCTCATTAAATAATATTTGGCATTAAATATATACGCATATTTACAATTTTATGCTACTGAGATTTAATATTAAATTTTTTTGGGTCTTTATTTTGAGAAAAAAATTTTAGGGTATTTTTCTAAAACTCATATTTTTAAGTTTACAAAATTTTTTTAAAAAATTTAACTGATAAATATTAATTTAAAAGCTATTATAAAGTCCCAAACGACACCGTATATAATATTCCAGATTCTATCGAATCTGTTTCTAAGAAGTCAATAATGCTGGTCGGAGGTGCATGCATGTAAAAGTAAGTTTTAAATTAAAAAAACAAAATGAAAAAGACAATTTCGTGCAATCCAACTCAAGCAGCAACTTTGCTGTAAGCTTGACAAATATGCGCGCGTGTATATATATATTAAATAAAAAATATTTAACACTGTATAAATATAAAATATTTATATCAAATATCATGTAATTAATTTAGTTGAATTTAATAATTGATATTAATTCTATTTAATTTAGTTAAATTAATATTATAAAATTTAAAATAAATATTTTTACAGTTAAATTAGTGTTAATTAATCTCTTTTTATTTATTAAGAGTGTATTTGAATAAGATTTTTTAAAATAATTTTCTTAAAAGTGAATTTTTTAAAAAAATTATTATGTTCTAGTTTTGAAAATAATTTAGAAATTTATTTTTTAAAAAATTCCCTCTTTTAAAAGTTTGTTTAAATATTTTAAACTATTTCAGGAATATTTTTTTTATTAAAAAAGTAATTTTTGTAAAAATATTTAAACAAACATACCTAGAAAAATAGAAAAATTTGAGAAAATAAACTAATTAGTTCCATAGATTATAAACATTTATATATGTTATGATTTTTTAAATAGATTGAGCTCGATGGCATGGGTATGGGAAATAAATGATCGGGTATATGATTTTATAAAGATTTTCCGTAGCTACTTCTAGAAGCGCTTTTAAAGAGATTCTCACCTGCCCATCTGTTTCAAAAACAATGCATGCATCTTCCTTCCAGCTTCCTGAAATGGGACAAAATATCAAATATATTTTGTTTCCGGACGATGCTTCGAAAACGACTTCGTTTAATATTATCAAATGACGACAAACAGCATCATTTAATAAATGACCCTGCCGTGGACGAGGCTATAAAATATTCTGAAAGGCATACGCACCCTTGAATGCCTTGTTTGCTTTATTTTACTTTATTTTTGAAGTCTAAGCACTTATTTCCTTCCTCTAATTCAACATCAAAATAAATATTTTCATAAAACAATTAATTTTATTTTAACTCAAGTAAATATTCTTTATAAACTCACAATACATGCAGTTAACATAATTTTAATATTTTTTGTGTAATTAAAAAATATTTTTATACTAATTACGATATAAGATTAATTTTTTTTGAAGAGGGAGTGAAAGGTCAAACATGCGCTGTTGAAACTTGTATTATGATTTTAATACAGTTAGAAGGAAACAGGAAATTCTTTTACATCGAAGTGGACATTTTTTTGCCCCCTAAAGTTACCGTATTAAATGATCCTGTACCTCTTGACCTGAAAGCCCAGTCGAGCTCAGTTTGTCATGTTGTCCGAGCCCAATAGTGGTTATTCTCGCAGTCGCGCCCAGCCCACCCAAACAAGGCCCAGGTAAGCCCAAAGCGGATGCAAAGCTTCTGAAAAAAATAAAAAAAATCCAATTTTTCTTGTGGAAAAAGAAATTAGAGAGAAAATGCGGCAACCTGCCCAGTCTGATCACCAACTAGAAGCTCCGACTCCATCTGCCGTATGCTTTGCTCGGACACGAGCAAAGCAGCAAAGCTAGTTTCCAGCTTCGACAGTGACAACTTCTGATTCTTGTGGTTATCAGATTATACGATCCACCCGCAATTGTCCTACGCAGACGTCTAATCGTCAGGTACCTTACCATTCGGCGGTTTCCCCAACCCTCTGTTCTCCCTTTTTTTTTTTTCATTTTAGTCTATGACATCTGTTAGGTAATATGTATCTACGTGCTGTATATCTATAAAATCGGAAAAGAAAGGCTTCCAGTTCCAATTTCTCACTCAAATAGGTCTGCTTCGGTGATAGTTAGGAATTCTTTTAATTGGACAACTTTGGATAGACCTGTGTCTTGAACTACCGTATTTCTGCGATTAGGTTGGCGTCAACAGACTATGATCGTCAAACCCAACTATTTTGATAGTCACGATTATGGACTCAAATTGTATTCTATATTGGTTTCGGAATGAAGTTGCAGGTGCCATTTCCCGTAATTTAAATTATGGTAGGAATTTTAATTGCAAACAGAAGCCAGAGTGTGTATTTTGTTTTCTTTTGCTATGTGAAACAATCTCTTAATGGACAAGGTTTTCTGCACTGTCGTATGATCATCGCTCTCACCTAAATTTATACCGTAGTGTTTTCTTTTTGGAAACTGAGGTTTGGGTTCACAAAGTCTAGCTCTCGAAGTTTTGGATGGGTACCATGTGATTTGCATTATTGTCTCTCTCGGAAATTCCATCTATTGTTAAACATATAGTCCGCAGCTATCTCAAACTATTCTTCAGGAGTTCCTATTAATCTCTGGACGCAAGTACTTACCCGTACAAGAAACATATTATAAAGTTAGTATAAACAGCAGGACAGCGTAACCAAAGACTCAATGGTAATTGAAAATTAGGATCAAGCACTCCATCCTTTATTGTGGACTACCAGAAATAGCTCTTAAAGTAACATCATATGCATCAACCATGTAATAAGAACATATACTAATATTAGTAATTTATAATCAACATAAGGCGCCATTGAGTGGGATAGACAAGGCAAAGTGAAGGTTATCCATGGAACCCCATGGGTTATAGAAAGCTTGCAAAGATTGTTGAAAGTGAGGAGCCTAAATTATATCATACTGGGAGAAGGACTGCCCATTAGGCCAACCTTCTCGGCCTTGTGATTAAAAGAATTTACGTCACTAAAAAAAATTTGGAGCTATTCCTAACAAATATGAAGCATCCATGAGAGGCCAAATGCGCACACATTTTTTCTTTCTCTTTTAACCCAAAAAAAAAAAAAAAATCAATTACAAAACTTATATATCACACGTAAAAGGCTAGTGAAGCCAAGGTGGCATCCAACTAGGAATTTTCCAAATGGTTTCATCCGATTCAGTCACTCCAATTCCAGCAACACCTGTTATTCCAAAATACTCGTTTTGCAATTATAGAGATACATACATAACAGTTATTGGTTTGGCTTTGCTGATACATACATACATACATACATACGCTGCAGGAATTCCTATTAATCTCTTCACAAGTATTTACATGCATGAAACATGTTATAATCATTAGTATAAACAACTGGACAGTGTAACCAAATACTCAGGCCATGAGGTATTTACGAAGCTTACAAAACAGATGGCTCAAAAATCTGAAAAGTGTAGAAAATTTATTTGGTTTAAAATAAAATGGTAATAGAAAATTATGATTGAACACTCCATAGTTTATTGTGGTCTGACAGAAAGAGCTCTTTAACAAACAACAATGCATCGACAATGTAGCAAGAGCATATATTGATGTTACTAATTTATAATCAACATAAGGCTACATTAAGTGGTATAGACAAGACAGAGTGAAGGTTGTCCGTGGAACCCCTATGGGGTACAGAAAGCTTGCAAAGATTGTCGAAATTGAGAAGCCTAAATTGTGTTATACTAAGGAATGCCCCTTTACTTTAGGCAGTAGATATTATATACATATAAAAACCTTAGACCATCCTTTCAACAAACCAAGTTTTACTCACTGTTCTAGACTTATTTATTAAATTTTTTCTACATAGAAAGAAAGTTGCTTGCTGAAAAATGGGAATTTTTTTATGGCTAGTTGTGAGTTTTGATGGAGTGGAGTACAAAAACTAAAATACAATAATTAGATAGATAGATGGAGGAATAAAAAAAGAAAAGAAAAGACGACGACTAATTTGGGGTATGAGCTTCCTTTCTCCATTTCCAGTTAAAATTTATTTAAAGGCTCATTTTCTAGCAATTATATTGCAAGCTTACTTTGGCTGACTATGTGAAGTCAACAGATTGTGGCTCTGATAATCCTGCATCAGATATTGCCCCGATCCTCATGGATCTCAATGATCTTAACAAGGTTTGGGAAATTAAAACTCTCAAAAGAGTCCGGGAGAGCGAGGCAAGGGAAATTCTAGAAAAGATATCTAAACAAGTACAACCCATTATGCGTAAACATAAGTGGAAAGTCAAGATCCTTTCTGAATTTTGGTATGTACTATTTTCTTTTTCTTGTAGATTTATTTATTTATTTTTTTCTAAGTCATTTTTCATTATGCCTCTGGACAATTTATATTTGCAGCCCATCAAATCCGTCTCTTTCAGGGCTGAACATAGGAGGAGGTGCAGAGGTTAAGCTGAGATTACGGCGACCAAACAATGAGTTCGATTTCTTCCCTTACAACCAAATCCTGGATACTATGCTTCATGAACTGTGCCACAACGAATATGGCCCTCACAATACACAATTCTACAATCTTTTAGATGAAATCAGAAAGGTCATTGGCTTATCTCAGATTGATACTGTGGCAATGTTGATTCTTATTTTCTGTTATTCCTCTTAGAAATAGAAGTTCAAATAGTAACTACCTTTAGAACTTTTATTTATTTATTTAATTTTGTGAACTTTTGGATTAAAAGAAAATATATGGCTATCATAATTTACAACCTGGTTGCAGAAGCACCTCCACTGCCCTCAATACTAGTATTTTAAAATGATTGAAAAATGTTGGTTAGCATTTTAATTGCATAGCTGCTATTCCATCATCCGAGTGGACACCTGGTAACTGCAAAGGACTGAATTGTGTCATTTTTTTTATTTTTATTTTTTTGAGAACCATTAGGCAACTTATTTACAGTGGCTGGAATAACTTAAAATCCTGAGTTGTCAAAGCTTTTCTGTTTATAACTTGGTTGTGTTGTTGTTCGCACTTCTGTTAGTAAACCAGAAGAAGAATTTAGTGGAAGGAGTAGTATAATCTTGTGAACTAAGTTTTGTAGCATCAAAAGAAATAAATTTAGCAGCGGTGCTTACCTTGTCTCAATTATATAAGTGGATATCATGCTTCTTAGTTGTACCTTTTCTACTTTACTTCCCCCCTTTTCTATTTTACTATTGTTTCTGGATTTGTCAAGTTCTTTCTGCTCTTGTCTGTTTTTGGGTCCTAGGACAGAAACTTCATATGAAGTGTTGGCATATGCTCTTAACTATTGGTTCAACCCATTATTTATGCTTTTTGTGTAACTAACTTGAGCTTACCAGTTAATATTAATCCCTATTATATATGCAGGAATGTGAGGAACTGATAGCCAAAGGTATCACAGGCACTGGACAAGGCTTTGATCTCCCAGGTAGACGTTTGGGTGGGTTTTTGCATCAGCCAGCTTTATCATCATTGCGCCAGAATGCTCTGGCTGCTGCAGAGAGTAGAGCACACCGTGGAGCTCTGTTGCCAACTGGACCCAAGCGAATTGGTGGTGATAGCAGCATCATGTCTGCACTCAGCCCAGTACAAGCAGCTGCTATGGCTGCAGAAAGGAGATTACGTGATGAGGTGTGGTGTGGCTCCAAATTTTCTGAGGGGGGAGGACCTTCTGAAAGATCTAGTAATTCTGCACTACCAGAAGGTGGTGGATCAACTCAAACTTCCTATATTGGTACTATATCTCATCCAGAAACGGCAGATCTTAGTGCAATGTGGCAGTGCAGTACCTGTACATTACTGAATCAAGTAAAGCTTCTTCACTTCCAAGGATTAATTTTTTCACTCCTTTCTTTTCCTGATGTGGATAGTTTAAGATTTTGGTATCATTTTCTGCTTTTAATATTAATCTGTAATTCATGAGCCTTTCTCTTTCATAGAATTCTTGATTTGTTGGTTTGCTTTGTTGAATTTTTATCCAAATTTGAATACAGATGATCAACTATTGCTGTCTGGTTAATTTGTATGTGTAATCCTTGTCTGCACCTCTAGTTAATATGTGAGCCATCTCCATTCATTTGGCTTCAGTGATGTTTATTTTATTTATTTATTTTTTCATATTTGAAACTCTCTTCTCTCTGCAGTCAACTAGATGCCATGCCATCATATGTGCAGTGAGAGATGTGAGGTAATTTTCAATTCTATAAATTAGAAAATAGTTGAGACCAGCTGTTAGAAGAGGCACAGCTGTACCTCGGGCATAAACTATAGGTGATCAATCACCTATACATGTCAGTTCCTCTTTGCGCTTAATTATTTTCTTTTCTCCTTGATCTGTCCAGCTGTTTTCAGGAAAATCATTGTTGTATTTCTAACTGATATTGCGTTAATAAATATGTATATGTATTGGCTTTTATTTGGTGAAAATTTTCATCTTAGGAAACTATTGGTTATCTTCCTGGCCAGTGCTGTTACCTATTTGGATATTTTTATTTTCTTTGAGGCTCTTCCTTTGGTTATTCTTTCTAGTTAATATCATTATTTGTTTATGATAACTGGAAGCAAGTGAATTTAGGATAACATCTGTATGCCTGGAACGGGTGGCTGTACTTCTTTTTGATGTTTTCATAACTATTTGAAGTGGCGGCCTGGCTAAAATGTGAATAATACCTTTTATGTGGACAATTTATGGAATCTGGTTTGCTTAATGATATTATGCGGACAAGCAATATGCTTCATGAAATACTAGATGGAAGCACACTGGGTCATTTTCCATGAACTGCCAAGACAACTTTTCATATCATTCCTATATTTCATGATTGGTTGGCCATGAATTTCTATGTGTATATAGTTGAAGGTATTATGGTAAAATGTTTTGATGCTATTATTGCAGCCATTGGCTCTGGTTTGTGAAGCTTGTGGAGCTCAAAAGCACGAGGCTCATGAAATGAAGTCCAGGGTATGGTCCTGCAAATTTTGTACCTTGAATAATGGTATCGATGTAGAGAGATGCGTGGCTTGTGGAGAGTGGAGGTACTCTTATGGTCCTCCTGTCTGCACCCCTGGACCCTATCCGGGCACATGAACTGGAAGGTACCCAGTAGAACCAGGTGAGATAGAACCAAAATCCATATGTGGTACATTGCATATCTATAATGCTGTAGTATTAGATATGAGAACACCATTATTATTAAACTGTTAATGTGATCGCCCATTATATGTGTACAAAGTGTGCTGTTATATTACAGGTTGTTGCAATGAGTTATGACCCAGATACCAAACAAAGGCTCAGTAATGGTTTTTCTGCTATCCGTTCAAAATTCGAGTTAGTTTCGAACCTTTTGCAGCCAGAATTAAATTAAACTCAAAACATGAAAATTACAACTCATTAAATTAGCTATAAAACCCTTTTGGAATCAGCCTATTTCGACTTTCAAAACATGAAAATTACAACTCATTAATTTAGCTATAAAACCCTTTTGGAATCAGCCTATTTCAACTTTCATAACTTAAAGTGATGCCCGAAATACTACAGATAAGTCACTCTAAAAAATTCTGTTTGGTGTCCTAATTGGTTGGAATTTTTATTGTCTCAGTTTAAATGTCCTCATATCGTTTTGTGAATATTTAACAAAAAAAATAAATTATAAATTATGAAAAATATTAAAACGTACGGAAAAAACTAATATATAAAATATCAAAATAAATTTGGTTTTAAAGAAAGAAAGAAAAAACTTAAGGGATAATTGTTTTTTAAGAGCTCACATAATATATAAAATTTGTAAAGAGAGTGGCAAGATGAAATTTCAAAAACTTTATGGTGTATTAAAGACCAATAAATATGTATTGTTACTTTTTTTATTTATTTTTTGAATTAAGAGAAATGGAAGCATTTCAAATAGCAATTATTGCCCCCCCCCCCTCAATATGTCAATGAATTTGTAAATATCTCAAAAGAAAATAAACTTATTCTACTTTTTACTAAGTAATTATAGATCACATAATATTTTCAATATTATAATAATCAAATCTCATTATATTTTTAAATAAATAATTTTTGAATTTATCTCACCCAAACACGGCTAAAAAATAGGAAGAATATATTTTATTTTTGGAAATTGTTTATGTCAAATTTCAAGGTATTATTTGTACAAATTGACGATTTTTTATGTTGATATTATTTTTTTATTATTTATCATAATAGATTTTTTTTAGATTATAATACCAAAATGAGCTTTTTTTTTAAGTGTATTTCTATTCGACCATCTTTTAAAAGAAGTTAATTCGATTCTGTTCAAATTGACTTCCCTTAAAAGTTGGTTAGCCATGGAGGAAGAGAGAAGCATAAGGAAGGAGACACGAAGAAGGAGAAGGCAGGAGTGGAAAAAGAGAAAAACAGAAGCAAAAGGAAGAGGACACATGAAGCGGGAGAAGGAAGAAGGAAAGCCAAGGAGGGAGAAGTGCAGCAGCATCCGTCCGCCCTGCACTTGTTTGCTGCAATTTCAACGGTGGACGGCCCTCTCCCTCCTGTTTCCTATTCCTTCTACTTATGTTTCTCTTGCTCCCATCCTTCATTCTCCTTCTTTGTCTCAACTTCTTCCTTATGCTTTTGATTTTCTCTTCCTACTCTGGTAACTGACTTTAAGGGAAGTTGGTTCGGATGTAACCAACTTCCCTTAGAGATGTCAATCTCTACACAATTTGGATCATCAACAACTCATTCCTTTTGAAAGAAGAACCGACTTCTAATTATATAAGAAAGGCCTATTTTGGCAAGAAAAGCTACAGGGCATGCGTAGATGTGTGCAAATTAATATTTTGCTTTCGTTTTTAATAATTTATTTTTTTTAGTATAGATGATTTTAAAATTAAACCATATCAACTTAATTACAAACCATACCACACAAAACAAAAAATTTCAGTGCAATTTGGTTTTAAGTTTAGTTTTTTTACAATTTAATAATTATTTAAATAATTTATTTATGTAATTTTTTATTGCCATATATGTATTTATACGTATGTATGTATTATATGTGTATGTGCTAGTGTGTATGCACACGCACACACTAATGACATAATACTGGTGACGTAAATAATAACGTAAAGTTACATACCTGGAAATGATATACATAATTGCAAAAGTTAAAACAAAAGATTCGAATATTTTTATTAAGTTGGCTACATCTAGATCAAAAGACTCATTTTGAATTTTAGTCAAATTCGTTGTATGAAAAATCTTTAGAATCATATTCAATATCACTTTAGTACATCACTTTTGTGCAGGTGTCACTTTCACATAAATAGTTTGAGAGCTTATCTGTATGAGATTCTTAAAATTGATGGAGAAGATTAGTTAAAGTTGAATCAAGTGGCTGAAAGATTGATTAATTTTAAACACAGCTAAGTTCTGGCATAGTTTAGTGACCATTCTAAGGATTTCAACTTGATTATGTTCACACGTTTATTTCATGAATGCTTTTCATTAGTAAATATATTCGGACTTGCTTACCCGAACTGTCACACCCTTTATCGTAACTTGAGCGAGACAAAATAGTGGAATATGATTCAACAACCTTCTATGGCTGAGATTTATGAGAGAAGGGCTAACTCTATTCAATGACTTTACCTGCTAAGTCAACTATTTAATTCATATTCACAAAACTAGATAACATAACATGATCCAAAATAACATGACAATATAACATGAAAATACCACATCATAAAAAAAAAAGACCATTAAACATAACTGAAAAATATATTTATTTTGCATAATTTCTCTTTTCTAAAATAAAATATTCATAAAACACCACCGTCTAATTTTCTCTCCCTAACACAATAACCCAACGGTCTACCAACAATATAACTTGAGTCCAGCCTCTCTAAATTGGAGATGTTGATGTGGTAAATGCATGTGATGCAACAATTGGTCACTAAGGCTAGGATTTGGAAAAAAATAAATAAATAGTGAGACTTAAATTTCAGGGAATGATTCTTCAACTAAAATCAAGGAAATATGAACAAATATGTATAATAGTATAAATAAAAACAGTTTATAAAACTAGTACAATTGATAGAAAAATTTAAAAAATTTCCTCATAAAGGCATTTCAAAGTTCATCATAATATATTATGTCATAAGAGAAAAATCCACCAATAATAATTTAAAACATAGCTAATTCTCCCGTTAATTTTGCATATCAAACTATAGTAACAAGTCGTAAAATAGGTAAGGATGAAAGTAAAAATATAGTGACTCCATACATAAATTTAAAATTTAACATGCACGTAAATAAAATATAGTAGCATGAATATAATATAGGAAGAGTCTGCTGAGTGCTACTGGTTATAAGACTCATTCCATGAAACACCATCTCTATGGATGAACAAACATGGTCCCACTAAATAAATATATCATGTAGTACTACCACTATAATCATGACTATTTAGCAAATTATTCGGATGAATATTATACATTCATAATTGAATATACAATGTAAAAGGTAATTCATGTTTCCATTTCTCGTTAGAACATAACCATAACATATAAAATAAAAATCATTTTTTGAGGATAGAATCCTTGGTTTTAAATAAAACATTTATTTGAAAGAAAATCATTGTTTTCATAACTTTGGAGAAAATACTAAGTTTAGAAAAAAAAATCACTCACCTAAACTACTACTTAGTCTTTCTAGGGTTAGTTCTATCTACACTACTGATTAATCTAACTTCTCCTTGTATATATGCAGAATATGCCAATAATTAATATAATATAGTATGTTAATGAATGCATGAGAAGCATGTAAACATATAATATAAGTTGTTCTTAAGCAAAAACTCCTAAACTAGATTGGATAGGATTAAGTCATCCTTGAATCGACATTGAAATCTCTGGGTTGACCTAAATCGGCCTAGATTACCTTTGAATTGGCATAATCAAGCCTAAATCTCTTTTGAATTGGCCAGAATCTCCTCCAAACTGGTTTGAACTGACTCCAATCTCCCTAAAACAAGCCGCAACCAACCTCAACCTTCTCCAAACAGGCCTGAACTGGCTCTAATCTCCCTAGAACAAGCCTGAACTAGCCTCAATCTACTCCAAATTGGCTTGAATTAGCCTTAATCACCTTGATCAGGCCTGAATTAGTCTTGCTCTCCCCTGAACCAGCCTAATATTTCTTAATATCCTGGTTTAATTGACCCAGACTTCCCAAAGCCAGATTAAGTTGCCTTACTAGGCCTTTGGGTTAGTCTGAACTGGCTTAACCTAGTTTAGCCAAGCCGAGTTGAGCTGGTCTGGCTGAACCAAGTAGACCTGAATGAAATTCAAGCTTCATCTTTTTTGTCCAAAACCCAAGAATTGACCCAGATGCCTGTAATCAACCCCACTCGCCCAAAACCTTCAAAATTCCACCAAAATTCTTGATTTCCATTGCTAGTCGATGACCTTGGAAGACATAGGCACCTAATTTGAGTAAAAAATATAGGGATTTTGGGCTTTCTAATGGTAGAAAGCTAAGAGATGTTCAGTTTGACATTGCTAGACTTCTAGTTGACCCACAACAGTAAACTTGGACGTTTTAAGACACAATTGAGGAAGATTACACTTAGGAAATTGAACAATAAAGAATTAATTCCTGCTTGAACTCACCTAAAATGGCAGAGTTTCCTTTAAAACTATTGTAGTGTTCTGTGAAAAGTTCATAGAAGTTCTTTCAACAAGGATTAAAATGTCACGCCCCGAACCCCGAGCCCGTGACCGGCACCGGGATCCACCGATCCCAGTAAGCCTCAACAAACCAGTCGAACTCCAAATATATAAAACATACACAAAGTGCAATAATATAACACCCAAAAATCACCCGGGATCCTGTCTGAGAGTACAAGGAAGCTACTCTAGAATACAATCGGTTAAAGTACAAAAGAGAAATGCCCGTACATCCATCAAGTCTGCTGTCGTCGACTCCCACGCTGGCACGCTAATCGAGGTGAGCACAGTCAAATGAATCTGGAATGTTTAAAACTATGAGTCACGAAACTCAGTGAGTACGGATGATACCTAATCTATGCATGTCAGGATACATATCAG